GAGATGCAGAGATGCGGTGGAGGCGCGCCAGATCAAGCTTGGTCGAAGGTGAAGAATTTTTTTTTTTTCTTGTTTGTTGTCCCGTAAACCCTAGGTCTAGGTGGGATATGAAAGGAATAAAGACCCGATGTGTTTTTTTAACTCTATTCTCTCCTCAAAAGTGTTACACGCTTTCTTTCTCTTTTTTTTTAATAGAAAAAACAGACTGCCTGAAAGTTGCCGAGGCGCGCCACACAGTCGCCTCTCGCCACGCAAAAAGGCGAGCCGAGGCGACTCGAAGCGAGCGCCTCGCGAACATGGTCGCCTCAAGCAGTGGCGAGGCGATATTGCCTTCGCCTCGGTCGCCTCGCCTCGAGGCGTCGCCATTTTAAACTATTGGCGGCACTACCTCTATGGAGGCAAGTGTGAGATTTTCACCGATCATAAGAGCTTGAAGTATATCTTTACTCAGAAGGAACTCAATATGCGCCAAAGAAGATGGCTAGAATTGGTCAAGGACTATGATTGCACCATTAGCTACCATCTTGGGAAAGCTAATGTGGTTGTCGATGCTTTGAGTCGAAAGAGTCATGGCTAGCTGTCTTGCCTATTCACCGGGAAAGATGTCCTAGTTCTAGAGTTTGAGCATCTACAGTTAGAGGCAGTGGAGTCGACTTCGACAGCCGGTGGTATGTTGACTGCCTTGGTTGTGGGACCGACTCTTTGTGAGAGGATAGTCACCGAGCAGCCGAACGATCATTTTCTATGCGGAGAAGGTAGAGAGTACCAAAGGGGACAATATCTTACTACGGGTTAAGATGTTGGGCTGTTACAGTGGTATCAGAGCCAGTACCCGGGCCATGTGCTAGCGAGGACGCTAGGCCTCTGTGAGGGGGTGATCTATATATCCCACATCGGTTGTGAAGGAGAACGAAGCATGCCATATAAGTGGTTGTGGATACCTTCACTAGTAGGACGCGTTTTGGTGAGCCAGCTCCGAAAGGCAAAGCCGTGTGGGGAAGGTAGAGAGTACCCAAAGCGGACAATATCTTACTGCGGGTTAAGATGTTGGGATGTTACACAAACCTTTCATATCCCGTGTATGCACGTATTCAATAAAAGCGTAACGTCTTGGCTTATTTGACTCTTTATCTATAACCAAGCGAACCAGTATACAATATGCCTAACAAAGTTACATACAGCGAAACAGTTTTTCTGATAACAGCCTGACTTAATACAATTACTACGTAATAAAAGCATAAGGACACGACAGACAGGCTCTATGCCAAATAAGGCGTGCTCACCTTTCAAACAGAGCTTCCAGGCAAGATGCATCACCATAATTGCTAGTGTTGCCATAAAACAGAGGTCAATTTACCAGTTGACATGTATACTAACATCCCCAGGGACTCCTTTTTTAGTAAAAAGAACACAATATGAAATGATTATAAATAATTTCAATACCGGATTATCTTCAAAATTGTTGAAGCATTTTGACAGCCTTTGAACCAAAAGTGAGAATTTAGTAGTAGAAAGAAATTCAGTACTCGAAAATAAAAGAGAGAGATGTGAATACTCCAATGCAAATTACCCATTGTCAAAATTTCTTCTCCACGTTGCTTGTAATATGGCAAATAGGGTGAAAGACAGAAAGCACTACCGCAGTTCACAAATGCAGTTTCACTTTGCTTGAATGAAGCACCATTTAATTGGAGTAACTCGTGGAAAATATATGAATAAAAGAGGCGAAAGGAAAAGGACTTTCCTCTTAAAGGGATATACTTACACTTTGAAATCAATGAACAAGTGGGTGCCTAAAAAAAATAGAACGCCATCACGTCTGAAGAAGACATTAATCCCCAAATGAGCAGAAAGGGAAGAAAAAGGTTAGCACAATAACCTATTTTTAATCAAGGGGTCAAATTATACCTGGGCACAATTCCATAGCTGACTTATTCATCCATCATGAAGCACTTGAATAAATAGGGTTTTTTAATTTGTCGACTCGGGTGGCACAGATAAAAATGTGAAGAACAACTATAGCAAGTTACCATGGATTACAAAATTTACAAGATTTTTCAAATCATACAACTTTACAAGAATAAACTGATATTTGACTTAGATTTAGCCTAATAAATTTTTGGGGTTTACGTTGTTCTTGGGGTTGCTTGATGGGGTTAAATAACCTGAGAATATCTTTTTCGGTGTGAAAATCCGTAAAATTTTGGATGAAATTCTTCAAGGGACCATATGACACTAACACAGGCGAAAAATTTCTTACTGAACCCAAAGCTAATAACCCAAGCCGTCTGGGTGTTCCATAATACCTACCTGCTTAATAGGACCATATGCCTCAAACTCCCTTGACTCTGCTCTCACTCTCACTGGTCTCATAATTCTGAAATGGAAACATGAAAATGAGTAACCCATTCAAAGTACCAAGTCACTAGAAAACATATTATTTAAGGATTTACTCACAAGCCTAGCAACAAACAACATTTTGTATCGATCTCCATATATATTAGAATCGCTATTTGGATCATCTGCAAAGATAATCAAACAATAAGATGAACAATGTTACCAAGACCACGAACCAGATAAGTCCCTGTCTTATTAATTAAAAGCATCTTTTGCAAATAAAGAACATTAGACTTCGGTAGCTATGCACTAACAGACTGAGACACATATCAATATACACTGTACAAAAAAATAGCAGCAATACATTTCTCAAGATGCTCTGCTGCCTTTTTAGCTCCTTCCTCCAGCCGCATCTGGTGAATCCTAGCTCTTCGCTCCGCCTGTAGAATATACATATATATACACAGTTACACACACCTTTAATGCAGAATATAATCAATATATTACACAACAAAAAAAGAGTTTTTACCATATACATATATAGACACAGCAACAAACTCCTAAAATTGCCCACATGACGGCATATGACACAGATATGCAAAAGGAATTGACAGTATTATAGAATGCTACGTACAACTACATAAAAATTGCCTACATTAGGAAAAATATTAACATTTATGAATGAGGTTTTGACAGCCGATGAGTTAATAAACTATGATTCAAACTCTGAACACGAAAAGAAAGCATATCCTCACAAGAAATATAAAGGTGTTTAGAACACATTAGACAACAATACGCCATTCATCTTGTGCAGAAGTATCGGACATACAGACCAGCAGATTTTCAAACATAGATAGACTACAAAATTCCAACCAAAAAGCTTATTTTCACACAAGATTTTGAGAAAAGACATACCGGGATTTCACCTTTCTGCACAGGAGCAGCATATTGCGGATCACCAGGCCCAGCAAATTTGCCAACAAACTGTGCCATACCTGGTAAATCAATATGGCAGTTCCAGGTTAGTTAGTATGACCAAAATTTTTACATTGTTTAGCATTGTAAAAAAACCGTGGACCTGTATATGGTGGACATTTCCTCTTCTCAGGAGGTCGTTTATATTCCAAAGGTGGGCGAGGCTCAAATAATTTGAGGAGGTTGGATGTTAAACATGACTCTGACCGATCTGTAAAGTTTAAAGAGAGAAAAACAAAAAAGATGCTGTTATGATCGTAGCATAGTGTAGCATAATGCAATAAGCAATTGAAGGAGAATTAACAGAGTCAGGTAATTTCTTTTGCACTTCTTAAATATCAACGATTGTCTACAATCATCAGACAACTACATACACCAAACAGGACCTTAATTGCTGCTATGTCAAAGTTACGACCATCTTACTGTTAGAATTGAGTGCAAAATTGAACAAATAATTGAGTGTGGGTCCTCTCTTTTGATCAATCATGCTATAACAATTAATTCTCAATTAGCAATCACACTTCCCAATGCTTCTTTTTATCTTCAGTGGAGGAAATGTAATACGGAGTATGACCCTAAACCAATTTTGCCTTATCTTGGAGTATGGCAATTGGTCCACTTGGCCTTATCTTGCTCCCTCATTACCACCTATAAATAGGGGGAGTTCGGACGAAGAATAACACAGAAGAAAAGAATAGAGAGGAAGAAAGGGAGAAAGATAAGAAAGGGAGATAGAAAAATAATCTGTCCAAAAGAATATTTGAGGGATATACTTATTAGCGATAAAAATAGAGAAAAATTATGAGAGAGAGATAATTTTATTCCTATTTTTAAGTGCTCAATTCTCGACTCCGTTCCAGTTCGTCGGAGCTCGTAAATCTGGTGTGCTACAGATTTAGAGACGTTTGCCGTTGTATCTTTGGGGAAGTTACGCCTGAACCGTTAGCTGACACACGGGGCGTATTCTTCTTGCGGAAAGAGTTTTACTCGCCTCGGCTTTAATCTTTTCGTTTTATTTTTTAAGTTTTTAATTTATTTTCAGATGTAATTTAATTTTTCAGTTCAATTGTAATTTTCTATTTTAGATTATTTGTAAGAACTGAAAAATACATATCAGTTCGTAGGATTCTCGTGTAATTTTATACTACCGAATCAACAATCGCAAGAAGAATATCTCAACCTACTGGACTGATGGCTTCCACCGGAAATGGTTCCAACACTCAGCATCCGATCAATCATGTACCTGCTGTCCATGTCCCTACTGCTGATAAGCCCGAAAAATTCAATGGGCTTGATTTTAAAAGGTGGCAACAAAAGATGCATTTTTACCAGACCACTTTGGGTTTGGTGAAATACCTGAAGGACGACCCCCCGGTTATTGCTGAAAATGAGACCAATACTGAACTACGCATTGCGTACGAAGCTTGGGGGCAAGGTGATTACCTTTGCCGTAACTATGTCCTGAACGGACTTAGTAACGAGTTGTACAATGTGTACAGCTCTGTTGGTTCTGCCAAAGAGCTTTGGGCTGCTTTGGAGAAGAAGTACAAGACTGAGGATGCCGGGGCGAAGAAATTCGTCGTCGGCAAGTTTCTTGACTTCAAGATGGTCGACTCTAAGACCGTCATGTCCCAAGTGCAAGAATTTCAACTTATCTTGCACGATATCCATGCTGAAGGAATGTCTCTGAGCGAGTCATTCCAAGTTGCGGCCGTGATTGAAAAGTTGCCGCCGGGTTGGAAAGACTTCAAGAACTACCTCAAACATAAGAGGAAGGAGATGAGTCTTGAAGACTTGATTGTTCGTCTTCGTATTGAGGAGGACAATCGTAATTCATCGGGAAAAATTCCGATGATGGAGGCTCGTGCTAACTTGATAGAGCAAGGCAACTCGAGCAAAAGGAAGTCCCTAGACAAAGGGAAGCAGCCTGCCAAGGTTTGGAAGTTTACCGGAACTTGTTATAATTGTGGAAAGCCGAACCATATGGCTAAAGACTGCAAGAGGCCAAAGAAGGCTGGGCCAAAGAAAGGTAAACCGAGTGCTCTTGTGGCTGAACACGGCCCTGTGCCGGGTGAACTGACCGACTTTGATATGTCGGCTGTGGTGTTTGAAGCCAATATGGTGGATAACCCAAGGGAGTGGTACATCGATACTGGTGCCACTCGTCATGTGTGTTCCGATAAGGAGGTGTTCTCTGAATACACTCCTGCTAAGAGTCGGAAACTTTACATGGCAAACTCCGCCACGGCTGATGTGGCTGGAGTGGGCACTGTGGTGCTGAAGCTGACTTCTGGAAAGGAGTTGAAGCTTAAGGATGTTCTGCATGTCCCAGACATCCGCAAGAATTTGGTCTCCGGATCTCTTCTTGTTGAGCATGGATTTAGGCTAGTATTTGATGCTAAGAAATTTGTTCTTAGTAAGTTTGGAACTTTCCTTGGTCGTGGCTATCTCGACAAGGGTATGTTTAAAATGAATGTAATGGCCGTGAGCCGTGTAACCGTTTTAAATGATAATGAAAAGCCTATTTCTGTTTATACCGTTGAGTGCTCTGATTTATGGCATATTAGATTGGGACATGTAAATCGAAATGCAATTAAACGGTTGATGAATTTAGAATTAATTCCAAATTCTAAAATTGAATCACATAAGAAATGTGAGATTTGTATTGAAGCAAAAATGGCTAAGTTGCCTTTTCACTCGGTGGAAAGGTGTACTGAACCATTAGGCTTAATCCATACTGATGTATGTGATATGAAAAGTGTGCAAACAAGAACAGGTAAAAAGTATTTTATTACTTTTATCGATGATTGCACAAGGTTTTGCTACTTATATTTATTAAGAAGCAAAGACGAGGCTGTGGAAGCATTTAAAATCTATAAGACCGAAGTTGAAAATCAACTCGGCAAAAGGATTAAAATAATCCGAAGTGATAGGGGTGGGGAGTATGTAGCTCCTTTTGAACAAATATGTTCCGAATATGGCATAATTCATCAAACGACTGCCCCTTATTCTCCACAGTCAAACGGTGTTGCTGAACGCAAGAACCGTACTTTAAAAGAAATGATGAATGCCATGTTGATAAATTCAGGATTACCTCAAAACATGTGGGGGGAAGCTGTTTTAACAGCAAATCATATTCTGAATAAAATACCACCTAAAGGGAAAGATGAGACTCCTTACGAAATGTGGAAAAATCGTAAGCCGTCTTATAAATACCTAAAAGTGTGGGGGTGTTTGGCTAAGGTTTCAGTACCGGAACCCAAACAAATGAGAATCGAGCCAAAGACGGTCGATTGTGTATTTATTGGATATGCGTACAATAGTACAGCAAATAGATTTCTGGTTCATAAATCAGAAAATCCAGAGGTATCTGTTGGTACCACGATTGAGTCGAGGAATGCTATATTCTTTGAGAATATATTTCCTCTAAAGGAAAGGGCAGAATCTAGTTCTAATAAACGAACATATGAAACTGCTAGTGGTTCAGTACCAGATGGTACTGATGAAGAACCGAGACGTAGTAAAAGGTTAAAAACGGCGAAAACGTTTGGACCTGATTTTATTACGTATATGTTGGACGATGTACCGAGTTCCCTTAAGGAAGCTCTGTCCAGCCTAGATGGACCACTCTGGGAAGAAGCTGTAAATAGCGAAATCGAGTCCATTATGCAGAACCATACTTGGGAGTTGGTTGATCTCCCTGATGGTTGTAAACCTTTAGGATGCAAGTGGATCCTAAAGAAGAAATATAAAGCTGATGGATCGATTGATAAGTTTAAAGCACGATTGGTGGTCAAAGGCTTTAAACAAAAGGAAGGGTATGATTTCTTTGATACCTATTCACCAGTTACGCGTTTAGCGTCGATAAGAGTGCTTCTCTCGATTGCTGCTTTGCACAATCTTGACATTCACCAAATGGATGTCAAGACGGCATTTTTAAATGGTGAATTGGAAGAAGAAATATACATGGAACAACCTGAAGGGTTTGTTGCACCTGGACAAGAGAGAAAGGTGTGTAGATTGATCAAATCCTTGTACGGACTGAAACAAGCTCCGAAACAATGGCATTTGAAATTTGATGACGTGATATTATCAAATGAGTTCAAAATCAACGAATGTGACAAATGTGTTTATGTCAAGAGTACATCAAATGCATTTGTGATTGTATGTCTATATGTAGACGATATGTTGATCATGGGGAGTAGCCATGAAGTGATCATGGATACGAAAAGAATGTTGAAAAGAAATTTCGACATGAAAGATATGGGTTTGGCTGATGTTATTCTTGGAATAAGGATTATCAGAACCCAAGATGGAATTGTCTTGTCACAATCTCATTATGTAGAAAAAGTGCTCAAGAAATTTGATGCATATGACGGTGCACAGTCTAGGTGTAAGACACCCATTGATCTTAGTATAAATCTGGTAGCCAATAAAGGTCAACCAGTGGCTCAGTTGGAATATTCACGGATAATAGGGAGTCTGATGTACTTGACGAATTGTACACGACCAGACTTGGCCTACCCGGTGAATAAGTTGAGTAGATTTACGAGCAATCCCAGTCATGAACACTGGAATGCTTTGAGAAGGGTACTTAAATACTTAAGGTACACTCTTGAATACGGGCTAAAATACTCGAGATACCCAGCCGTACTTGAAGGGTACTGTGATGCAAGCTGGATATCAGATTCGAGAGATTCTCGCTCCAATAGCGGATATGTTTTCTGTATTGGAGGAGGTGCAGTTTCGTGGAAATCCACAAAACAAACGTGTATAGCTCGGTCAACGATGGAATCGGAGTTCATAGCTTTAGATAAAGCTGGTGAAGAAGCCGAGTGGCTTAGAAATTTTTTATCCGATATTCCATGTTGGGATAAGACTTTGCCGCCTGTGATGATTCACTGTGATAGCCAAGCTGCTATAGGTAGGGCGCAAAGCAACTTGTATAATGGTAAGTCTAGACATATTCGTCGTAGACATAATACCGTACGCCAATTGATCACAAATGGTGTTATTTCCATTGACTATGTGAAGTCTAAGGAAAATTTGGTTGATCCTTTGACGAAAGGATTGAATAGAGATCAATTGGTAGATTTGCTAGAGGGAATGGGCTTAAAAATCCACAATGTAAAGAATGATTATAGTGGTAACCCTACCATGCTAAGTGGAGATCCCACGAACTTGGTTCAAAGGGAAAACTAAGCTATGAAAATTCAGTTGAGCACTTGGAACATATGAATGTCCAAAGCTATTCCCTAGAGCACTCCAAGTGCAAGATAACCTGTTGATTGTGGTGAGGGTAAGTCATGTGGACTTTTAATGAATCCCTAACCTTGTAAAGGTGGAGTATGGCAGGATACTCATGATAGGGAGGTCACCTATATAAGTGTGAAGTGTGGGCCGCTTCAAATGTAAACACTTATGAATCCAGTGTGTTGTCCATGGCCAAAACGGACACAACGATAGAACGGAATGGAGTTAAGACTCTATTATGTAAATGTCATTGACTCGGTGTACACTATGGAGGAATAGTTCAAGGCATCATGTCCACTAGTCCGCCAGTGCATCTGATGATGTTTAATAGGAAAGGTTCAAGGCCAAAAGCTACCTTCTCTGATGCAATAGAGTTTTGTGAGGATTGAGCATATAGTATGTTATATTCAATTTCCACTCATGTGGGGGATTGTTAGAATTGAGTGCAAAATTGAACAAATAATTGAGTGTGGGTCCTCTCTTTTGATCAATCATGCTATAACAATTAATTCTCAATTAGCAATCACACTTCCCAATGCTTCTTTTTATCTTCAGTGGAGGAAATGTAATACAGAGTATGACCCTAAACCAATTTTGCCTTATCTTGGAGTATGGCAATTGGTCCACTTGGCCTTATCTTGCTCCCTCATTACCACCTATAAATAGGGGGAGTTCGGACGAAGAATAACACAGAAGAAAAGAATAGAGAGGAAGAAAGGGAGAAAGATAAGAAAGAGAGATAGAAAAATAATCTGTCCAAAAGAATATTTGAGGGATATACTTATTAGCGATAAAAATAGAGAAAAATTATGAGAGAGAGATAATTTTATTCCTATTTTTAAGTGCTCAATTCTCGACTCCGTTCCAGTTCGTCGGAGCTCGTAAATCTGGTGTGCTACAGATTTAGAGACGTTTGCCGTTGTATCTTTGGGGAAGTTACGCCTGAACCGTTAGCTGACACACGGGGCGTATTCTTCTTGCGGAAAGATTTTTACTCGCCTCGGCTTTAATCTTTCCGTTTTATTTTTTAAGTTTTTAATTTATTTTCAGATGTAATTTAATTTTTAAGTTCAATTGTAATTTTCTATTTTAGATTATTTGTAAGAACTGAAAAATACATATCAGTTCGTAGGATTCCCGTGTAATTTTATACTACCGAATCAACACTTACTTCCAGCCGCAACATCGTCATTCAAAATTTTCTACAGCCCAGACATCACAAAATCCACGGCAACAGCATATAACAAAATCAATAAAACAAGGACACCCTGTTTACGGCCATAAAATTTGCGAAACAAAGCACTAAAACTAGTTCAAACTATGTTATATGTGAAGATGGAGAGGATTCAGTATACGAGACTTGCCATTTTTTGATGCAACACATCAGCGCGGTTCTGAGCTTTGGTACGGGCCTGAACGGCAGCGTTTTGGTTGCGCATCATGGCGTCGCCATAGTCCCCCATCCTTCGAAATTCCGGTGGACAATCTAGGGTTTCTAGAGATAAGAAAGGGTCATGAAATCACACGCCCTGGTTCTTAGAAACAGCTCCTGGTTTTATAATAGGCTGTGTAGGTATCTGTTTTTTAAATAGTTTGCTACGTACGTCACCACAGCTCGTTATATTGTTTTTTTTTCCCAAATACCGCGAGCGTTTTCTCGACAAGCTTACGCAAAATGCTGAAATAGTACGTTTTTTACTCTATTCGCGCTACTTTGCCCTATATTTCTTCAACGATATTTAAATAATAAAATATTTAAAAGAAACTTATAACTTTTTAGAGATTAGAGTTATATTTTTAAATGACCTAAAAACTAAAAAATTCGATAATAATTTCAAATTAAAAGTTTGAGAATGATATTCAAATTAAAAGTTTGAGAATACAAAGTCGTAAACTGAATAGTGCAATATATATATCAGTCTAAGTCTACTATATCATTATATTTTTTGGGTATTGACATTTAAATTTAATAATAAAAAGTTCAGATCTAGTGATTAGAATTAAATAGTAATTAAACCTATAAAACCTCGTGCATCCCCCAATTCTCTTTTGAGGACCCCTTCAACGTGGTTACGACGCTTTGGTTATCCACATTAGCAATCTTGTTTTGATGCCCCAAATCCCAATCAAGATTTATGTATAGTTATGCTCAGTATTGTTATGAAGTCATCGGATGACACGCCTTATGAGTCATCCACACTTATTCACAAATAGTGTATTGACACGTGTCTTACAATAAATACAATTTGGATAACTGTCAGTACATTAATTGATGAATGACTCCGTAAGAAAATCATCCAGATAGATCCATAGAATTTCTGATGCTACGAATATATCAGCTCATGAAAATATTTTGTGCTCGTATTTCTTTCCTTCATGCTAAATTCTCTGGCTCTTCCAAGCACGATTTTCACCTCTTACAATATCTTGTTCCTTCTCCTTTTATTCTCCCAACTAGTGCAAAACCCGTGCGTTGCACGGAATGTAAAATTTTGAAAAATAATAAAATATGGCATGAATTAGGATCGAAATAATTATAATACGTAGTAACATTATTACAAAAAGAATGATTGTTTCGTCACGAAACAATCATATATTATTAAAAACCTCCTTGTACACAATATTATGAGTTTGGTTATTGGGTAACTCCTCATTATCACAAATTAATATTTTCAACCCTCTTCTAGTAGTCACACGTGAAACAGCAACATATAATTGACCGTGACTAAAAACCGGTTTCTTCAGGAATAGACCAACGTGCGATAAAGACTGTCCTTGACTCTTGTTTATGGTCATCGCATACGAAATCACAAGTGGAAACTGTCGCCGCTGGAACTTAAATGGAATCCTAGTATCAGATGGAGTGATATTCATTCTAGGAATCAACACATTCTCTCCGGCGTGATCTCCCGTCAATATCTTGCATTCGAGAACATGAGTAGAGAGTTTAGTCACAACCAATCGCGTCCCATTGCACAGTCCCATAGAATGGTCCATATTGCGCAACAACATTACTGGAGTTCCTACCTTCAGATGCAACTTATGATTAGGAGTTCCAGAGCACTTTATGCTATTCAGGAATTCTGGCGTGTGGAGATCTGCCAAGAAATCATTGCCAGAATCCGACTTAGAAGTACTGTCAGAGCTCAAGTACGTACGACCTTCAGAAGAATTCATATCTGACATGTATTGATTGATTGACTCAACAACTTCCAATGTGGGAGCTAATATAGCCCTATCCTTCAAATAACTCGGATCGTTAGTTGCATTCTTGAACATTGGATAAGTACTTTCTACAATCGCAGCAATTGGATCATCAGATGGATCCAGTCTTATATCATCTGGAATTTCGATCGCGGCACAACCATCATTTGATCCTCCTATAGTACCATCTCCAATACTCGCAATCCAATCCGCAAATGCAGCCACCTCGTCACGCTCATCTGAATCGGAAATGCTCTGAAGACGCATGTTTTTCGTAAGCCGGAGCACAGTACAGTCATTCCAAATGCTGGATGCATTAATAGATGCATTGACAATGTCCTGCCGACTCCCCTTTGGAATGACTGGAAGGATCTGTCGAAAATCTCCACCAAAGACAATCGGCTTGCCTCCGAAGGGCTTGCTTTTATTCGAAGGGTCTAATACTCCCATTATACCCTGCAGTGATGTTTGAACTGCCTCAAAGCAATTTTTGTGCATCATCGGCGCCTCGTCCCATATGATTAGAGAGCATTTCATTATCAGCTCCGCAAGAGGACTTGCCTGATTAATATCACAAGAAGAATTTTCATGAAGACTAATGGGTATTCGAAATCTAGAATGTGCAGTTCTTCCACCAGGTAACAAAAGCGATGCAATTCCACTCGATGCCACATTTAAAACGATTTTTCCCTTCGACCGCAATGCCGCAGACAAAGTTCTCCACAAGTATGTCTTTCCAGTACCTCCATAACCGTATACAAAAAATACTCCACCAGCACCTGAATCAACAGCGGACATAATTCTTGAATAAACTCCTTTCTGTTCATCGGTCATTCTTCCAAGAAGTGCTTCGTGTTCCACAGAAAGCGCGCTACGATCATAATTAAGCTCATCCAATAGAAGGCGGTTTGAAGTGTTATGAATACTACCACTGTCCGGATAAGGCATGGATGAATATTCACGAAGACTTGAGCCGCGAATTCGCATAAGAGTCTCAATTTCAGCAAGGGTGAGATTCTTTATAGCATCTTCACTGAGCCGCAAATCTGGAAGTCGAAAAATTCAATATTTTAGAGAAGCAATGGTTACACAATGTAATAATTGATAGTTTGTATTTTTTATGTAAAAAAAATAATCTATATATATTCAATATATTCAATGATATAAAAAGCACAATTACCATCGTTATTGAACAATCGTCGCTGTCTGTATAGAATGTCGTCAGATAATAACATCCAACATTGTTGCCATACGTCCTCAGGTCTACTCAAAGAGCCAGAAATCAACAATGACGCAAACATACGTCTAAGAGACTCTGCAGATGCCCAATGACTTGCTTCGGTTATACCGTCTATATACTCTTTGTCATCATCTAACAATCCATGTTCGTAGCAGGCATCTCGATAATTTTGATACTGGACTTCGCCTACTTTCATGTAGTCCTCGTGGCATGTAGCACCGCGAACAACATTTAGCAAACACCTCAAATAGTAATTATCACCACAGCCAGGATTCACGTGGTGTAGACGGGCAATTGTTCCATCTCTTATTCGAGGAGTCCACTCTCTAGTTTTTGCATTCCACCTAAATTTCGACGTTGACTCCATATAAGTTAGCTCCCTGGCCGCTGGGTACTTCTTATTCGCCTCAAACCAAGCTAGAAATTGGCTTTCATTCACTGTTGGTTTATTCAAAACATCCTCCAAATCATCATCATCTTCAAAAATTATGTTCTGCTGATCTTTAAGATGAAAGCTTAAACGTTGTACTGCTGGCCTCTTATACTGTAGCTCAAAACCCAACAATCTCCAAGCAGCCTCACAAGAAGACACATAACGACAATCATAGTACATGTTGATCTCATCCAGCGGCTTTTCAACATCTCCATCAGCAGAAGTTTGATAGAATGATGCAGTCACACGATCATTTCCTTTGTTAACATACTTGAATAAGTACTTTATGGATCGTGATTGATTGCACCACTCAACGTTAACATGTGCGCCATATTTCATGAGCAAACGACGATTATGGGGCACAACATAACCATTATTGAGGAAGACACCATTCTTCTCAATATATTTACCATCTTCTCGACGCCTGTACCGTGGATACCCATCCTCATCCACACTGGTGGCATCGACAAATTTTTTTGGAAATCGTTTGCTGCATTTGCCGTTTACCATGCACGGTGAGTTTTTTCTTGCAGCACCACACGGTCCGTGCATCATATGTTCCTTGACCGCTTGATAATACATAGGATCGGACGTCTCATCCGGTATCTCAGCAGATATTATCCTATCAATGTCAGATGGGTCGGGAAACTTATGGTCCTTGTCAAAGAAAAGCAGTATGTGTGCATGTGGCAGTCCACGCTTTTGGAATTCAATGGTGTAGACAACTGAAAAAATAAACAATAGGAATTGATAAATATGGTTACTAAATATTCGTATTGGATTATTTTTTTAATAAAGAATAAATTATAATATTAGTATACAAATTAAAATTAAAATTTATAGTAAATGTTTGACCTGCAGTAACCTTCCCAAAGATTTGTTTCTCACGAAAATCCTTTATCATTCTCTTAAGTTTTGCCCTAAATACCCTGCAAACGATATCTGGTCTATCCTCAGGACGCAATTTCCTCGGCTCAAGAAAACGAATAATCTCCGGCCAGTTTGGATTGCAGGTAAATGTGACAAACAAATCAGGATATCCTGCCCACCTACAAATTGCCATTGCATCCTGGTAATTTTGAATCATATTCCTAGGACCACCAATGAATGTAGAAGGGAGAATAATACGCTTTCCTCGAGAGCTGGGATCGGTATCGCCACGCAGCACAGCATCAGCCAGACCCTTATACATCTCACAACGAAGCTTTTTCTGATTAAAGCGAATATATCGCAACCTCGATGCTTCAACCATTGTGTAAGCGTCAACTACAAATTGTTGAAATAGTCTTCTAGATGAAAGAATTGTTCGTGGCTCAAAATCCCTATCATGCATACGATATGCAAAAAATTCCCTACAACTAACGTGTTTTCTACCATCTTCAGTCTCCTCTTTAATAGCAGAAAATGGAATATCTTCCCTATAGCCATTCCCTCCATAAGGCAATAACAGTGGATATTGTAAAGCCAGATACGAAGCATTTAGTTCGTTTATCCGTTGCAGACGGCCACTCTTCGATTCAACTAAAATGTCCCTTTCACCTAGAGACTGATCAAAATCACCAACAATCAAAGCAGCAACTTCAGAG